GCAGGCAAAAATATTGCACCTTCACAGGGACCGAGGCAGAGGACGGGGCACGTCTGACTCTTGGGACAGAGAAGGCAACGGCTACAGCTCAGCATAACCCAGAGCAAGACACGAACAGGTCAACTTAATGCAGAAACATCTCTTTAGGGGAGGAGGGGGTGTTTTTTTTTAATTGCAAAATTTATTTACTCAATAGATAGAAACATTGTTTACACACCTAGACAGTACTTGCCTGCAGATTGTCATCCTTGTTATTGTTGATGGCTCTAGAGCTTTAAGGATCACTATGGAGTGGAAATCAAAGAAGAAAAAAGTAGAAATTGGTCTACTTTGCATAGGGCAAAAAAATAAATGAAACCAACCCTTAAAATGTATTGAAAAGAAGCTAGTAAATAGCACAGAGGTGCAGAATCTTTATCCAGTTCACTCTGTAAGGAACCCTAAGTGGGAGAATCTCAGCTGGGACAAACAGCGGCTTGTGAGGTTTCCTGGAGGCCAATCAAGGTCCTCGGGGCTTTCCACAAGAGACAGGATGGTCTGTGGTGGCCAAGGAGTGGAAGATCCATTTGCATGAAGGGGCCATTTTCCAATTCTGTGTATTTTTAAGAAAGGAGCAGGAAAGGTACCAGGCAGTGTTTTCGGCTCCAGACATTGAGACCTTCTTTCAACTATTCAGTATGTCCTGGCTTCTGTTTTTCTTTGCACTCAGTTCCTTGGCAGGTAAACAAGCGAAGACATAAATTTGTGTCATTTTAAAGGTCAAGATAAAAAATAACTCTTTTTTTTGTCAAGGTGTTGATTCACAGCCAACACTGATTCAACCTGCCTCCTAATCGGTGCCTCTGAGACAAACAGCTACCCATAACTGCTTGAAAGGCAGTGGCAGCTGGAACAGCGATCTTCACTGGCTTCAACAGAAACCTGGGCAGGCCCCTCGCTTTGTGCACTGCAATGGCTGCAGCAGAGGAGCAGGGATCCCCGACCGCTTCATTGCCTCTGCTTCAGGGAACTCGGGATCTCTCACCATCACCAATGTTGAGGCTGGAGACGAGGCCGTTTATTGCTGCCATGTTTGGACTAGCACTGATCGCATGTTCCACGGTGGTGCAGCCTGATGGGGATGTGAGACAAAAACCTTCAGTCCTCCTCTTGAGAGACAGGAAAGCTCTTTGTGTCTTCAAGTGGTGTTTTAATTTTTGTCAAGAAGGCAAAGTTCTCAGATTTTTTAGATTTGGTGTTCGCTCACTCTCCTGGGTGCATTTCTCCTTGGCAAAAATGGCAATTTCCAGTCGTGTTAGGGATGTTTGTCCTCTCCCATCAGCCATCATTTTTAATATGCGTAGATCGGCTCTACGTCAATGCTCTGGAAAAACCCTCCAGATCCTGAATGCTGTTATAACAGACCATTAAACACAAAAAATCAGGAACCCCTGCATAGGTGGGAGAGATTTGTCTGCAATGTTTTAGAGTGGAAAATGCCAGAAAGATATTGAAAGTCCTAGCCTTGAGGCTTAAGCTTGGTTATGACTTCAGATCCTGAGTTATAACAGACCATTAAACAAAAAAAATCAGGAACCCCTGCATAGGTGGGAGAGATTTGTCTGCAATGTTTTAGAGTGGAAAATGCCAGAAAGATATTGAAAGTCCTAGCCTAGCCTCTTAAGCTTGGTTATGACTTTTAATTTAAAAAGGAGAATTGAAAAAGTGGAAGATCAAGGACTGGATTTTCTAAACATCAAGTCTGAACTTCTCTCATGCTTTCACTTTGGCCACTTTTCCTGGGCTGGATTTCTTTCTGTGGTGCTTAGTTCTCTCACCAGGTTGATTTTCATGCTGAACAAATGTCTTGTATCCCACGGATGGTTGGTTGGTTTTCCCTAACAGACAGATTTGCCTTTGGGCATGACTGTTCCTTTTCTCCCTAATGATGCTGCCACCAGAGTTTTACTTCCTCAATTACCAATTATAAACACAGAATCACTCATGTCAAATATAACAATGTTTATTTAAAGATTAACCGGTAAAACACACAGAAGCAAAACCAACCGAAAGGTTATTAAAACATATAGAGATCTTAATGTAGGTTGAGTGCCCCCATATAATATCCACATTAAAATGCCAAAAGCCGGCAGAAAAAAAGAATATTTGTGCATGCAGATGGAAGGATAGCTGCCTAACTGTTCACTTCCTTGCTAGTTTGTTAGGCTGCCTTTTCCCTACTGAGATTTATCAGTCAGTCCGTTGAAATGGCACAAGCCTGCAGAAAAGGGAATATCT